ACTTCTTGATAGCATGCCAGAATTCACTGTTCAGGTAATAGTACTTTCTCTGTAACGTGACCAAAATGGCCAATGTACAAGTTAAATATTACTGTGAATAAAAATTTGAGAAATGAAGCGGAGGTGGTGCATGTTAATTAAATAGTCTTTCAAAATTACACTAGAGTTTAATTAGGGCCTGTTTAGAATTATAAGTAATTTTTTAATTGTGATTTATGAGATATGAGAAAAATATATAAAAATTTTTGTTTTGATTGTGTAAAATATTTTTGTAAATATTTTAAACGTTTTGACAAACGGGTCCTTGGTAGGGCAAGTTTCAGTGCGATTTAACTCCACTTCATGCATCGAAGAGCAATTACGTCTTGTCAACTTGGTTGAGACAAAATCATAGTTGGGTAGGCTACACCTGCGAAAAGGCTCTATGATAATGTGCAAGAATAGATCTCCAATTCCCTAATTTTAGACATGATTGTGAGTTTTGAATAAACTGATCAAGTTAGACTTTATAGGCCTCTTTGCAGCATTTGAAATGACATTGCTTTGAATTTTTTTTCAAAGAAATAACAATTTATCATATTTGTTTTTTATTAACTTTGATTTATTAGATAATGCCTGTTTTATACATGAATATTTAATTTATTTGTGAAATAATACCTTATTCAACTACAAGTATAGTAGATCACTAGAAAATAAATGATCTTTAACTTACTTTCTTAATCGGTTTGACAACTAGCCTAGCTTTTTTTCCAGTGCTTTGGGTGATATGGCTAAGAAAGTGGGGAAAAAGATCTATGGCTTAATGGCCAGTTCCTTTTTGTTTTTGGGAGTGAGCTAATGACCAAATCATTGCTTGGTTGTTTTCACGAGTTACACTTATAACAACGGGAGCCTTTTTTTTCCCCTGTTTTTTTTTACCATCACTTGCATAACAGGGGGACTTCGATTAGGCCATGGTAATATGCGCTGAGTTAAAATGCCACGTGTCTATAGACTTTAGTAACATTCTCTCTCTGGTCTTAATTATAAGAATTTGTTTGTAATCTATAAATGAGGTTTTATAATTAAAACAAGAGGTAGTATAGTAAAAAGATTCCTCACAACATCACAAACTAATGAAATTAAATCGCTGAGTGAGCATGAGGATATATACCTATGCTTTCTCAATAAAGTGAATGCGCATCTGGTATCATCAACTATTTTTTTAGATGTATCTATTACTTAAATATTTTATGATACATCTAACGCTTTAAATATTTTTCAGGTATGATTAACATTCCAAAATACTTTTTTAATGTAATTTTACATTCAGCATTTTAGGAATTGAGTTCACTAAAAAATAATTTAATTTGTTGAATGTACTTGAAAATATACTTCAAGATGATAAATGCCCCAAAATATAATTTAAGATGTTGAACATCCCTTAAAAGAATACTTCAGGATGTGAGACGTATCACAAAATATTTTAATACACTAAATGCATTTGGAAAGGGTCCTTGATTCGCCTTAGTCCTTTTCAAAATTTTGTTAGTGAAATTAATTATGCATCATATCTTGATGGTTGGTTTGATAATTATACATTAATTAAATAAATTTATTCCAACAATTTAACATGATTTGTTGCGTTGCCTGCAATAAGCGTAAAATTAACTTTCGCTGTATTATTTATATAAGGATATATACTTATATGCATACATTATTTTTTCAATGTGACGTACCCATGAAATTTTCAAAGCATATCAACTTTGTTTTCGTGTTTTTCGCACTACCCTTGAAAACGACGTTGTAAATTGGGATGTGTTTTCCATTTCAATTTGTCTTGATTGTTCTGGAGATAGAAAAGTTGGAACCCCCTCAGTGGTGCACACCAAGCTTTGTCCAAGAGCGGTAACACCAAAAAGAACAACACTGTGCATACACTTGTCATGCTGATAAGCTTGGCACCAATAATTGCAGGCCACGGCCTATGAAATTATCACATTCATCTTGTGGAGAGGGAGACGAAACAATTTATATAATACATTAAAGGCCTCTATCTCTCCCTCAAACTCTAACTTATAATAAAGTTGACAAGTTGTTTCTGTCATGACTTGATCGAGTGCTCAGATCGTACGTTTATCTCTCTGCTACTGAATGTTGAAGATAAGTATTGAAGACTGTGGGATGGAGACGGGAGGGGGGAAATAAAGGTGGTATTCTCTCCAGATATATAAATGGAAGATGAATTCGTTTTACACTTTGGTTTTATCTTTTTTGACCATTATATATAAAGTATAAAGCAAACCCCACTTGAAGCTGCTTCCGATACGTGCCCAACAATGCCAACCTCATCCCTGAGCCTTTATTTATGCATCCACTATCTCGTTTTCACATCTCTTGAGAGAGTGATGATTCTGATAAGATCAAATAGGGACTTCCCTCATCATTGTCTCATGCAGCATCTCCTCTTCTTCGCGTTTTCATTCCACTCATCGCCCACTTTGTTGTAGGAATGGGAGAATTATAGCAGAGAAAAAGTATGAGCACTAACGTGGTATATATCACAACTTATGATAGAAAGGAGGTTAAAACTTTAAACACATATTTGGTTGAAAATAACCCCGAAACATTAACTATTTTCGTAATACTACTTCCGGACATTCATACAAGACTTAGTTTGATATTTAATTTGACCCTAAATATAAGACTCCAAATCCAATTTGTTTTTCATATTTATTTATTTATTTCTAAGATAGTCTCAGCAAAAACTGCACATGTTAAAAATTTCATCAAATGGTAGTTCTGGCTAATACACATGAGTAGCAAGAATGTTTTAAAGAAGACAATATCTATTTATTACAAATAACTAACCTAATTAATTTTCTTAATTTATTCAAATTAGTCAACTAACTCTTATATTAAGGATTGATAATAGTACTACGAAATTCACTAAATGTGGGTTCATGGGTAGATCTAACATAATAGCAATTAAATTTTGCAGCGCTGTGAGAGTCAGTCACCCGTGGTGGTGGGAACTAAGTAAGCCCCATGGAACGCACGTGATTCCTTCAGCACCATTAGGTTCATGTCTGTTTGGTATTATAGCTCTCGTGAAGCCTGTAAACTTTGGTCCTTAATTATCTCACCACAGGTCATGTGACAATATATGTGAAATGAACTCCATGATAAAAGTAAATGTATGTAAGCCAGAAATATAAGATTAGAATACAAACAGTACTTAAAAAAAAAAAAACAAACAGTGATTGAAGGATTTTCTGGTTGGAAGTCATGGCTGAGTGCATTGGAGTGACCTTTCTTAGGAGTCTCGGATAAGTTAGTTAAAAGAAATAAGGTATATATGAACTCGTTCGTCGATCCACTAAGAATCGAGCGGTAGTCATTAAATTGGGTCATGGATGTTTTTGAGAGGTCGCGAGTCAGATCCAATATATAAAATTTATCAGTCAAGTTAGCAATTAACTAAGAAAAAATTACAAATAAATACCCTTAAATATATAAAATTATGATTGAGGACTCTGAATTTGAAAAATAACAAATAAGAATCCCGTTCTACTTTTGCAAATATAAAATATAGGTGAAATGTCTTAAATGCCTTTCAGTTAAATTGTAATTTGGTTTACTGAAATTGTCATTCGTTGAAGTAAACTTGTTATTTCCCATAGTTGACTCGTTATTTGGCATACCCTCGATTAAGTTGTGATTTGATCTACTGAAGTTGTCATTCGTCAAGGTAAAATTATCATTTTTCATAGTCAACTTGTCATTTGGCTGAGAGGCATTTCAGGCATTCCAAAACATTTTATATTTGCAAAAGTGAGACCGGGTCTTTATTTGCTATTTTCTAAATTCAAGGTCCCAGATTGCAATTTTATATATTTGGGGCTCTTCATTTGTAATTTTTCCATTAACTAATTCTATCCCCACCATATATATGGTGGGGACCAAGTAAGCCCACGACCTCATGGTACACAATTCTATCCCCACCATTTGGTTCAAGTCTGTTGTGTATGGCACCTCGTGAGGCCAATAAATTCACGATGATAAACGTCAATGTTGTAAGCTTGAAGCAGATATGGGGCAGTATTCATCCCTTTGCGCAACAAACTCTAATTGTTTTAAGTCAATAAAGGGCTCCAGATCATGGTTGACAAATAATGATTGCTGATAATAATAAGGCGATCAAATGAAATGGAAGAGTTAAACTTGACTAACAAAATAGGCTCTACTTGAGTAGCATTTCGTTACTCCGTCATCAACAATGAATTTTGTAGTGAGTTCACAGTGAATCCAAATGCCCACCTTGCTTTCTTCATCATATTTGATCAAATGAAAAAAGCCAGACGTTGGTGGGGTTTGGTCGAGAATTTAGAGAGCTCGGATTTAAAAATCTTTAATGCGGGGGAAGGCTCCTTCCCGGGTTCACTGCGAAAGATCCAAGATCATTTACTTCCCTATGCCCCTGAGTTTTATAGAATTTTCTTAATTCCAGAGACAGCCGGGTTCTGTTTCAGACGCTAAAAAATGTTTCCCAGGGTGACACCTTTAGAACCCGAGTTGGCGAATATATGATGAACGTATATATATATATATGATGAAAACGCTTTGCCACTGACTGTATATATTGCTTATCAGAAATCTCAATACATCCAAATGGAAATATTGCAGAATGTAACAGAACGGTACAGCAAAATGTAATGAAATAGCAGAAAGGAAGGGAAGCAGCAAGGAAGGTACAGAAGATAGCAGAGGGAATCTATCCAGGAAGGAAATCGTTCCAAAATCCAGCACACCACTCCCCAACGGCCTTTGGCCTATTATATTGAGCTGTCACCGTCTAATTCTCGAAGTTTCCATGATTTCTTCCTGATCCGTTGGCTTCTACGTGGCCCAACATGGTCATTGGGGCTTCTATCTGTCGCTGAAACCGAGTGCTCCTGGCCCATTTGGTTTTGGATCATAACACCCGAGTTGGCGAAGGATTGTTGAATCTACTTGTGTACATGTCAGAAGAAGTTTCTGAGATCAGGGAGCTGTTTACTGACAAGGATCTTGACGAGGATCTGAATATTCCAAGCGCTTGCAACAGAGCACTTGCGGGCAGTCTTGGAAGTCTAGTTATTTCAGTGAAGAGGATGCAGACGTTCCTTTTATAATTTCTTGTTACCGTTTATTGGATGACTGCAAGAAGTGAATATAAAATTTTGTCCTATGCATTCCTGAAATGGTTTCAACTCTTGTTACCGTTTGTGGCAGTGTATTGGAGATCCGACACATCAGGTAATGCAGTCCATAAAGAGAAAAGAAGTTAAAAAAAATCGATTCATGGACGTCCCTTGCTGAGATGAATCAATGTTCATGTTGTGAGCTCCATGCTTTTTGTCTCTCGCATTTGACCTTACACAGATGTTGTAGCCAAGCATGCCGCGCTGCAGCGAATTTCTCAGGAAATCTTCCTAGATTTTTGCTTACATTCTGAAGGAGAAAGTCACACACACACACATATAGTTTTCGCTTGCTTTGCTACTGAGAAATACTATATACTTGTATTACTTTTTATACGAAAGCACATGCTGTTTGGGTGGTGGGATAGGCTGAAGTTTGAGTTAAAAGTCACTAGTTTAACAGGCCGTTCATGATACTAGAATTCAAGCATGGTTGATCGATAAATAATGCCACTGGAAATAGAGGCCAATAAACTAGCACAGTTGCATGCAAACGTTGGCCCTCATGAATTAGATGGTGCTTATTGTTAGTCGGCTTTTTGATGGATTAGTGTTTTGCACATTTGAGAGCAAAAATCCGACAGGCTGTTGAACAGGCTAATATCCCTATCTGAAATTTATATACAGCACAGATTTGGAGTCTTGTCTTGAAAATCTAGTCATTGGAATAGAAATAGACGTAACCTGTTTACCAAATGACCAAGGTCCAGAAAACTACAGAAAACAGAAGCAGACGAGCTACATCAGTTAGGAGAGCTAGGGTTTGGCCTCCAAAGGTCTCTGCTATTTTTTCATCCAACGCACTACACTCTTCTAAGCCGTCTTTTCTTATTCTCCTCCCCCGTCAATTACACTTGGGCAATTTCTGGAGAGAGTATGGGCCTAGAGTCAAGTACAGTAATCATCAAATCGTTGAAAGATCAAAAAAGTCGCCAAAGTATAGAGAAGGTACTACAATCCAGGGTCAACTTGCCACTAGTCTATTTGTTAGGCTCCTATTTCTGAGTTCCAACTCATAAGGTTATTTTTTTCCTAGTATACTCGTACACGTGTATCCTTTAGGAGGAAGCAAGATGTGCTTTGCTTCCTAACTTCCCTCTAATCACGCCTGATTATTGTTTTGCATTCCCCTTAAAATCATTCTATTGGTGTGGAAGAGTAAAATGGAAGAGTCAACGAGAGAGGCCTGATTCCTGTTGACCCAGTGGCACAAGTAATTTCGTTGGCAGATTACCATCTTCATGCACACTTCATCTTTCAGTTAATTGTTCATAATTTATGATAAAACAAGTATTATTACACCTGCACATGGAACAAGACGTCAATATTGACTTAGATTAACAGAGGATTTAGCTTTAACTATGCTAATAATGAGAGGGCGAAGGATTTGACCAGCATCTAGAGTTTCCGTGATGCTCAAGAGACTCTGACGGGACTCAAATTTTCCCAGTTGAACACATGCATGCTCTCTCAATTTCCGCTGTGAGTCTCTCTTTCCATCCAAAGCGAAATTGGTGGTTTTAAATCCTAATACAAATAAGCCATTTTGTCCCATCTTGTTTAAACGCCTTCTGGTTCTTCCTATCACTCCTTTCATGATGGGAAATGAACTGAAGAACCCTCCATTAGTCGCCCAGCTTTTAGGCTCCAAGTTAACGTTTATCCATCTTCTTCGTTTTTTTTTCTTTGTAATAGGATTGTCATTAGGTGTCACAGTCAGTGTTTACTACAAAAGCTTCTCATTCAACCTACAAGAACTTTGCCTTTCGTCACCACCAAGGCTGCTGGAACCGCCACCGCCGCAGCCGTGGATTCAGCCAAGTGTGAGTGGATCTGCATTATATACCCAGCAGCCTCTCATGCACAGTATGGATGATGAAGAGTTGTTCTGGCGATCTCTAATGGTCCTAGAAGGAAGAAATTCCAGGGTGAGCATGCTCCTAAGATTGCTTTCATGTTCCTGACCAAGGGACCTCTTCATCTTTCCCCCTTGTGGGAGACGTTCTTCCAAGGACACCAAGGGCTCTACACCATATATGTTCATACTCATCCTCTGTTCAATTGGACAGTGCCTGTGGATTCTGTCTTCTACAGAACAAGAATTCCAAGCAAGGCAAGTTCCAACTCTTGCTCTTCACCTAGACAAAACATCTCCTTAAATATAAATTATGAAGACATAGCCAGAACCTACTTCAAACTTGTTCCTAATATTTCTTTTCGCGTTGATTACAGACAGTAAAATGGGGACAAGCTTCGATGATAGATGCAGAGAGACGCCTCTTAGCCAACGCTCTTCTTGACTTCTACAACGAGAGATTTGTGTTACTTTCAGAGACCTGCATTCCTCTATTCAACTTCACCACAATATACAACTTCTTAGTTAACGCGAATCAGGGCTTTGTAGCCTCGTATGATGATCCAAGAACAACTGGGCGAGGCAGATACAATCCCAAGATGGCACCCACAATAACAATTTCTGATTGGCGTAAAGGGTCCCAGTGGTTCGAGATGAATAGAAAAATGGCCATTGAGACTGTATCTGACACCAGCTACTATCCCATTTTCAATGAGCTGTGTCGTCCTCCGTGTTATTCTGATGAGCATTATATCCCTACGTTGATCAGTAAGTGTTGCTCACTTGAGAACTCGAACAGATCCATCACTTGGGTCGATTGGTCCAAGGCTGGGCCACACCCTGGGAGATTTGGAAGAGCCTCGATCTCACTTGAGTTCCTGAACGATATAAGGTTTAACTGCACTGCTCCTCATAGACTCAATTCCAGTAATGCTTCTTCCACCTCTATGTGCTTTCTTTTTGGTAGGAAGTTTATGTCAGATGCTCTTCGTCCTTTGCTGCAGATTGCACCTATTCTTCTAGGCCTCAATTCTTCACAATTCTGAACATGGTTGGTATGAGTGATCCATGTTATTAATTGAGTTTGCAGGTTGTACTTGTTGCCCCTGTGCTCTGAGATTGATTAAGATTTATTTGTATATTTGAGAGAATAAGATCAACACTGTCATTTAATGCAAATTGAACAAGATTTTGCAAATTCGTTTGTGTTTTGTTTGGCTCAGGTTCCTCAAATTGGCATGATCATTTTGTACATCATTGGCCTTTGTGTCGTTCACTCGTTGTGATTTTTGGCCCTTTGACACCATTTGATGTGATAGGCTGCCCCTTTTTCAGACTGTCCCGTAGAATCTTGGAACATGGCATAACGATGATTTTCATATGATTTTTAAAATTAAATGTTGGGACCTTTTTCTTGACAATCAAATTACCCATACGAAAACAATTATGTAAACCAAGTTGATGAATGAACAAATTAAAGTCTAATTTTGCCTCGGGACCCTTTTTTTCCTTTCAAAAGACACACTGGGCACCCTAAAGTTAAAAGAGGGTACAACGTTGCCTCTCATGTAGTCAAATAGTTAGTTAATTGAGAAAATTACAAATCCTGGCCCATAGTTTACAAGTCAACTTTTGAGATTTACGACAAGTTTGCCAAAAGTAACAGACATGGTTAAAACTATTAATTCCTCCCCCTCATACTCTTTCTTACAGCGGGAAGAAAACCCAGTGAAGGGGGATTTGGATTTGAATGTGAGGATTGGCGTGATGATAAGGTGTTAGTGAATTGGGTTTTGGTTTTGATGACCATGGTCCAGGCATGAATAATTCATGCTATGGTTAAGAAGGGGAATGATAACAACTGCCACCTTCAATTATTAATATAAAACCCATTTGAATTTTATTTTTTGTTAAAGACCCAGTTGACTAATTTAAAAAGATTAAAAAAATTACTAAATTACTTAATTAGAGTATATATTACATGATCACTCTAAAATATTTATATGTATCAATAGATTATATATTAATTTATGAGTGAAGCAAATTAGTTTGGATAAAAATGATAAATATAAATATTTTAAAATAATTTAATAACTTTATTAATCTCTCCAAATTAGTCAATATAATGCTATATTAAAAATAGAAGGTAGTATAATATAATTAACAACATTATTGAATCGATCACAGCATCTGTGTGTCTCTACTGTCTCCTATGTTTCTGCTTCACGTAACCTTTCTTTCTCTTTCCTCCCCCTGTGCTCTAATTCATTATTCCCTTCTGCTTTATAAATAAATTAACATTATGTTCTCGATTTAGATTTGACTAAGCATAATTAAGTCTCTGTTGGCAAAATAAAAAAAGAGTCTCAGACAATAAACCGTGTTATTCATCATTTATATCTAATAAATAGATTTTATTAACATTAGATATAGTGGTGTTGATACTATTCCTTTGCAGAAAACTACCTATCCTATCCGGTCAAAAAAAAAAAAAAAACTACCTATCCTACACCAAATGTCAAATAATTTACTCAAATCTTTGGTTCTCTATGATAACAGCGCTGTCATTTTTCCTCCACTGTAAAAAAAAACATGGTTAAATTGATAAACAATAAATTAAATTAAGTGCTTTCTGAACCGACTAATTTACTTAAAAGCACATTTATTACCGTGTTGGCAGAAATATTGCACATTTATTACATTTTTAGCAAATAAGTAAATAATTAAAAGAAAAGGAGGGGGGTGAAAATCTCAAAATGCATATATGATTATATTCCTTGTTCCAGTTCTTCCTAGATAAAATATATTTTTTGCTTCTCAATTTGGGAAATGTCAAATTCAATTTTTTTTCATGATACATGCATGTTAATTGTTTACCTCTTAACCCTTTAAAATATTAACTTTAGTGGACTACTAATTTTTTAAATGACTTCTCATTGCATTATTAGTACATGTTTCAAAGACTAGTAAATAAAAAATTAAAAAAAAAAATAGTGCATTAAAATTAGAACTCTTTTATACCAAAAGAAATTAGAATAGGAAAAATATGATAAGGCTATTAGGCTAGCCCATTTAGGGAGGCCCATACCCATAAAATCATGGTCTACTGGGAAACAAGCCAGCCGACTCATCTCGTGCTTTTTCTTGGCGCGTGATGATCCAAGCCGTTTGCTCCGGATGGACTCCCCTGCGGCCAAGATGATTACTGTCAGTTCTTATTATGGCAATCAAATAACTCATTTATAAACCAATAAATATTGATCCAAGTAAAAAGAACACATGCATCTTAAAAATTATGTCTTTGGTTCAATTTTTGGAGCATTGTGTATGAAAAAAAATACTGTTGGTACGAGTCGCCGCTACGGCCTTTGACAGTATCCCGAAAAATTAGTCTCTTACTATTCGAATGGGAGAATACTCTAGGCAACAAAAAATCATTTATAAATAATAAATAATTATTTAAAATTAGTTAAAATAATAAATAGATTAGAAATATACTTTTATTTGCAAATATCCCTTACAATAAATGAGAAAAATAAAAAAGAATATGTGAGAAAATGTGATAGGAGAAAAATAATTAAAGGACAATATTGATAAAAATATATTATATGTTAAGATAAATTCAAATTGAAGCTTATAAAACGAATCATATATCTTTTTAAATTTAAAACTTATAAATAAGACCAGTATGTGATTTTATGATCGAACTTTATCCATATTTTCTTAGTTAAAATTTTGTGTCCATGAAAAGTTGCGCCTCATGTGGGAGCACTTGACGAGTAGATCCCACGTCTTGTTTTTTATTATTCCGTGGGGAGTTGCTTTATGTATTGCCTGACATAAAATGTGTCACGCTTGGATGAAGTCTTAGGTTTGAATATGGTGATAAAAAGAAAAATTAATTTAATTTTTTCAAGTCAATACCTTCATTTAAAATATTTCAAATACATACTATTTCCGGTTGTAATTATAAGAGCCAGTTGACTAATTTGAGGAGATTAAGAAAGTAAGTTGAGTTAGTTATTTGTCATAAATAGGTGTTGTTTTTCCTAAAATATCCTTACTAATTAAGTGTATTGACTAGAACTATCATTGTTAGAAGGGTTACTTTGAAAAAAATGTATAAATATGAGAGACAAAATGAATTGGGGTCTTATATTTAGAACCAAAATAAAAGTCAGACATGGTCTTATATTAAGGACCGGATGTAGTATAACTTATGCTAGAACTTATTTATAGGGTGGTATATTCTAATCTTAATTAAAATATTATTATAATCTTAATGATAAAATAAACTTCATTAAACGTTCAAATTAAAAGACATATCTAAATAAAAAGGTAAATCTGAATAACATAAAAATTAAAATTCTTTCTCAAAATTCCAATTTAAAATCTTAAAGTAAATGAATTCTCAACAAAAAAAAAAAGATATCGTGCTCTAAATAAAATACAGAACTCTAATTATACTAGGATGATCATAATAATGACTTAATTATTGTTGTTTATATAACGCCATCCCACGCAAGCACAACACATACCAATCGTCGTCCTTTGGCCTCCCTTCGCGTCTCTGCAAGTTCTTGTCTTTCTTCTCCTTCTGCCTGTTCCGATGAAGCCTGAGCGTTTCTCTGCATCATCATTTCTGAAAGTTATCAATATTCTTCACTTGCATTATCTCCTTACTCTTTTCTCTCTCTTTCTCGTCGTTGCCGCTGGTTTACTCATCGGAATCGCTCTCTCTTTGCACCTCAAAGACCTCTCTCTCAACTTTCAAATCCAACAGTTCTTTACCCCATCCATTGGATTAAAACAATTGTCACCGTACTCGCCTCCAAATCCAACAGTCTTGACCATCATTAATATTTCTTCCTCAAATCGGACAAAGACAGAACCTTTGACGACGTCGTTAGATGTTCATGATCGTCAGAATCAGACAAAAACAGTAACCTTAACCCGAAAAGGTCTGAAAGATTTCTTGAAACCTCCGGAGGCAATGCATGGTATGAGCGAAGAAGAGCTGTTTTGGAGAGCTTCTGTGGCTCCAATGGTTGAGGAAGCTCCATTCGATCAGACACCAAAAGTTGCATTCATGTTTCTGACGAAAGGTCCTCTTCCGATGGCTCCTATTTGGGAGAAATTCTTCAAAGGAGTCGATAAAGACTTGTATTCTATATATGTACATTACCCTCCATCTTTCAATCAAACACTTCCAGAAACTTCAGTCTTCCATGGCCGGGCAATACCAAGCAAGGTAATTAGTATGTTTAATTTATATTTATTTGATTGGCATATATATACATTTCCTGTGTACTGTTTTTGTTTTTCTTTTTTGCGTTCATTGAATGTCCGCAACTGTGGGCTTTTTTTTTTTGTTTTATAAAAAAAAGTAAGAAATTAAGCTCCAGTGCTAAGTCGTTAATTAGGTTGTAATATTGGATCGCAAGCATCATAATTCATAACATAGGACTAGCTTTTCTTTTCTGATGTTATACTCAAAGTGTGATAATTATTAAGTGATTATATTCTCCAAACAAAGAGATTTTGAGGAGGGATATTTTTGGGATGTTACCATTAATTTGTCAATGTGATCGACGTTCGTTAACTTTAGGGGGTAATTCAGAGCGCATTAGACAGTGTTCACAAATTAAAGAAACAGATTGATTTTTAGATCGATCTATCTGTATCTGTCAAAAACATGTTACGCCGCATGATGAAACGCCTAGTTTAACATATGTAGAATAGAAATGGGCTTTGACAAAGGTCGATTTTGTGTGATTTGGCTGACCATGTCGTGTAGGTTTCAAAGAGCTAGTACGCGCTATTATTAGTATGGACGTGAGCAGCTGATTCTAGCTATATTCCCAAATTATAATTTGTACACAATGTAAAGACAATACCGCCGCTACAACAAATATTGATATTACAAGTGCATATCAATGGTTGTCTTTTAGGATTTGTCCCTTTTCATGCATCTCTGATCTGATTCTATTATAACGAATTTGCTTTGACTTTCCATTTAAGATTGATCATCACCGACTATTTTATATATATTCGTTATTCACATGCTTCTCTCCTCTTGTATGGTCTTTTCTGGAATTCTGCTTATGAAATATATATATATATGTGTGTGTGTGTGCTTATA